TCCTCAGAACCCGGGTAAAAAACGTTGCTAAAAATTAACAAAATTATCAAGAAGCTAGTAGAATATGAATTAAGCAAAGATATATCAGAATGTCCATACAAATGAAACAAATGAAAGAGTTCTCCTATATATATGGAGATCCTGCCTCCTTCCTAATAAGTTAAAACCAGAGTAAGGTCTAAAAAAAGATTTTTTTTGGGGGGGGGGGCTGGTGAGATAGCTCAGTGGACTAAGCGCCTGCTTAGGCAAGTGAAGGGACCAGGATTCGATCCCTGGATCCTCATGCCACGCAGTTTTGGCCCCGGATGTTCAGATGCGCAGTCTCAGCCCTGGATGCGGGTGCCCACTGTGCGGCCACGGAGCCGGGTGTGGTGGTGCAGGCCTGTAACCCCAGCACTCAGGAGGTTGAGCCAGGAGGATCTCTGAGAGTTCGAGGCCAGGCTGGGGGCTACAAAAATGAGCACAAGGCCAGCCTGAACCTGTATGGTGAGACCCTGTCTTAAAAAACAAACAAGCAAATAGACAAAAAAAACCCACCCCCCAAAAATACATAAAAAATTAATAATAAAATTTTAAAAATGCTTTTGCCACAGGGTCTCAAACTCATGCAGGTCTTCCTGCCTCAGCTCCCCAAGTGCTGGGATGATAGGCGTGGGCCACCATGCCCTGCTGAGATGCCGCTTTGGATCTGGAGGGTTTGCGAACCCTTTGAGGACTGACACCAGAGTGTGGTTAGGGGGTGGAGAGGCCGTGGGCTCCCACGAGGAAGCCGTCCTTCGGGAGGGAGAGGAGCTCCGGGCTGCTGCTGGGACTCGGAACGCGCTGCGCTTGCCAAGCGCTCTCCTCACGCCGAGTCGCTCCCTGCGGCTCCTTCTGTACCAGGGAAAGGCCTGGAGGACGCCCTGGTCCCCTTCAGGGACCAGTTGCATGAATTATTATCCATCTACCACTGGAACTCGCTGCAGATTTGCCAGAGGAGGATATCTGGACTGATATAGGAAACCCTCTGAGGTATAGATTTAAAAAAAAAATTACATAAAGTTCAAAATATGTGTACAGGATCTGGTTTTAGGAAAAAAAAAAAGAAAGAAAGAAAGAAAGAAAGAAAGAAAGAAAGAAAAAGAATATGTGCTGTTTCTTCCATACCTGCTTATTTAAGAAATGATGGTAGAGCACGACATAAAATAAACTTTACCACTTTAACCATTTCAAAGATTTTTGTTTTCTTCTAAAATTTTAATTTTTATTTTTGTGCTGCTGGCCCTGAAATCTAGGGCCTTGCATGTTCTAGGTGAGGGCTGTGACAATGAGCTACACCCCAGCTCTTTCTATCTCGAGACAGGGTTTTGCTAGGTCACTAAATTGTCTGCTGGGCTGAAATTTATGATCCTCCTGCCTCAGCCTCTCCAAGTGCTAGGATTACAGGCATGAGCTGCCACGTGTGTCATTTTTTAAAAAATGTAATTTAATTTAATTTTATGTTTTGAAATAGGGTCTCACCGTGTAGTTCAGGCAGACCTTGAACTCATTCTGGAGCCCAGGCCGGGCCTTGCCACCCTCCTGCCTCAACCTCCGGGGGCTGGGAGCACAGGTGTGCAGCTCCAGGGCCCACCGCGCTGGGTACTTCTCACAGGCCATGTAAACAGTGGATCCTGGTTGATCAGTTTCAAGGTGAAACAACAAAAAGGGGCGGGGCTCTAGCTGAGTGGTAGAGCGTGTGCTTAGCTTGCACCAGAGAGAGAGAGAGACAGAGACAGAGACAGAGACAGAGAGACAGAGAGACAGAGAGACAGAGACAGAGACAGACAGACAGACAGACAGACAGACAGATCGATCCTTAGCTGTGAGGTGCATGGGTGGGAACTGGAGCAGACTTCTGGTTCCAGACTCAGCAAGGAGGCCTTCTCTGTGCTGAGCTGCGAGGACGGTGGTGTCAGTCTGTGTTACCCTGGACAGTCCCCTCGTCCTAGCGCCTGGCCGTCATCTAACAGCGGCGCCCCCGCCCCCACGCCCGCCTGGGGCTGCTTTTCCTAGTGAAGCTTCCTAGTCAAGCTTGCAGTTACCCGTAATCTTTCCTGTGCAGCAGGACCTGACTCAGGGTGACTTAAGCCACAGAGGAATCTGTGGGGCGGGTCCTGGGGTTCGTGGCAGAGCCAGCCTTGGGAAGCTGACGGGAACTAGACAGGAATGCGAGATAGAGGAGAAGCTTGGTGTGAATCACAAACCCACCACCCCCTGCTTTTGACTTTGTTTTTAGGAATTTTTTTGTTTTGTGTTTTGCTTTTCGCACAGGACCATGCTCAGCCTGGTCTTGAACTCACAGCGATCCTCCTGCCTCAGCCTCCCAGAGTGCTGAGAGCACAGGTGTGGGTCACTACCCTTGCTCAGTGGGCATTGGGATGCTATCCTGCACGGAGCTCTTATGCACCAGAGACCAGCCCTGTGGTCAATGCACACTGTGTTCTTGGCAGCACGGCTCATGCCAGCATTGCCTGGGAGCGGCCCTGCGTCCGCCAGCAGACGGATGGGTAAAGGCAATGTACTCACATGCAGTGGAGTACTAATCTGCCAGAAAGAAGGAGAAACTTGAGTTTTTCTCAGGGAAATGGCTTCTTCACCTTGAGACCATAAAGTGAAGTGAGGGGCTAGGGAGACGGCTCAGTAGAATAAGCACTTGCCTGGTAAGCACAAGGACCTGGTTCCAGAAAAAAAAAAAGTGAAGTGAAATAAATCAGGCACATGGGCTTAAATATCACATGGTTTCTCTTCTATGAGAAAACAAAATAGAAATAAATCAAAGGGCAAAACAAAGGGCGATAAGATGTTTTGCAAATGGGAAGGGAGCCAAGAGATAGAGGGGAAAGTGAAGGGGATGTAAAAATGAGTTAGGATGCCTTGCGTCCGTGGGCCGACTGCGCCTGAGGAATGTGATCGCTGTGTACTGCAGACACATGATGATAAAAGCAAAAATTAAAAAAAAAAGGGGGCCGGGAATATAGCTCAGTGGCACAAGTGCCTCCCTGGGTTTGATTCCTGGTACAATAAATAAATAAATAAATAAATAAATAAATAAATAAATACACACACACAGAGACACATGCACACATGCACACACATACACACACACGTATATTTTAAAGTATCATTAGAAAATGACACTGGGTCTTGGACCTTTAGAACTGCTACCTAAGCAAACCTTTTTTCTTTACAGATTCCCCAGCATCAGGTATTTTGTTTCAGCAACAGAAACTGTGTCAACCCTGAGAAAACTCCAGGGCATTCAGCCCTTGTTCACTGGGGTGCTCCTCCTTTAGAGCCCAAGACGCTGCCCCGCTGGGGACACTGCATGCCAGCATAAGCTCCAGCCCCAGATCTTTTTGTTTTTTAATTTGGAGACAGGGAGGTTCTCACCAAGTTACTAAAGAGCTCAGGCTGGGCTTAGATGCACCATCCTCCTGCCTCGGCCTCCCAGGGTATGTGGATTACAGGCATGCAGCGACCCCCTCAGCACTGTTGATGTGTTAATAAGCCTCCTTTCTCATAAGCCATCTCTGATGACTTTCTTTAGTTGCGGCTCAGCCTTCAGCCCTGCCCAGCACACCAGGGATGTGAATGAAACAGAAATGTATTAAGAAAGCCAGGCGTGGTGGTGCACGCCTGTCATTCCAACACTGGGGAGGCTGAGGCAAGAGGATCACTGTGAATTTGAGGTCAGCACGAACTACACAGTGAGTCTCTGTCTCAAAAACAAACAAACAAACAAACAAACAAACAAACAGGCAAAATATCCCAAGAGAACCTCCCATTGGCAGAACCTCACACAATTAAAGCCAAAGGACAAAGAATCTGGTCAGCATAATTCACGGGCTGAGTGCCTGCAGCTACCACAGATGCTTAGTATTGTTTTTAAAAAATTGGCTGAAGTTTTTTTTTGGTTAAAGTTTTATAAAGCTATAATTCGCTGTTAATTTTCACCACATCGTTTGCCATCTTGGAGTATCCATTTCTGAGGGTTTTAAGTCATTCACAAGGTTTTGCAATCATTGCCACTAATCTAATTTCCCGTGGACTCAGCACTCTGCATCCGGGGCATTGTGTCCACAGATACAACCAACTGCAGGTCAGAAATAGTATTTAAATAATTATATTGGTAACCCGGGTGTGGTGGTGCGTGGGGGTCATCCCGGTGGTCTGGGAGGCTGAGGCAGGAGGATGGTAAATTTGAGCCCTGCCTGGGCAACTTAACTACTTAGTAAGACCTTGGCTCCAAATTAAAAAAAAAAAAAAAAAAAAATTAAAAAGGCCTGGGGATGCAGCTCAGTGTGAGGGCCCTGGCTTTTGTCCCTGTCCCCAGAACCACACACATGGACACACAAAGGAAGGAGGGGAAATTTAGTTGTGTGAAATATTTATTGTAGGTACTGCTGGTATTTCCTGGAAAAGTAGCTCTGCATTGCTGCTGGGTGTGAAGCACCGAGGCTGTGACCAGGAAGGTCTAAGCTCATGGTCCACTCTGAGGTGTGACATGGGAAACCCGGTGCTGGATCTGTTTCCAGCCCAGGTCGTGAGATCCTGCAGTTGGGTGAAGTAAAATCTGTCTTGTCCTTTGAGATTCTTGACAATGCCCCTTCTTCCAGGAAGTCCGTCCTTGGCCTTCCCAGGCCAGCTCTGGTTTCCTCTTCAGGGTCCGTCTCTGCTGCAGCCCTGATCGTGGAGGGACTGAGATTTCAGCAATGCCGGGTATGGAACAGGTGAGCTGAGTCAGCGGAATGACTTTATGAATGGATGAACCGCTGACTGAATTTATGAATGAAGGCGCGAGAAGCCCCAGGGCTCATTGAGTTGGGTGTGTAGCAAAGAGCTCCTGCTGCCGAATGTGGCAGCCTACGCTTGTCCCAGCATCCTGCAGCGGAGGCAGGAGGGTCTCAAGTTTCAGCGGAGCCTGAGGAACTTAGTGACTTAGCCAGATGCTGGCGCAAGAAATACAAAAAGGGCTGGGGATGTGGCTCCCAGTGAAGGCCCTGGGTTCCGTCCCCAGGCTGTTCTCTGCCGGGGAGGATCCAGCCAGGCTCTGGTCACTGTGGCTGCACCTGGCTTGGGAGGCAGCCACAGGCCAGGCAGCGAAGGCTGAAGTGCAGCAGACGAGGCCAGCGGAAGAGCAGGCGGTGGGCGGTGTGCACGTACAGGCGGCCGGAGGGGTCCAGGGCTTTGAGCGCCGTCAGGGGCACGTAGCGGGCGTTGGTCTGTTTGCGCAGGGGCGGCCTAGCGGCGCCGATGATTTTGACGATGGCCTGTGTGATGGAGCTCTGAGTTCTGGGCTTCAGAAACTCCCACTGTTAGCATCCTGGAGCCAAGGGTCTGGGTCACTCACCTGGGCCACGTCTCTTGGGCTCTGTCCCACGGAGCGGAAGAGCTGGGAGGAGGCGGGAAGGTAGAGGTCACGGAAGTAGCCCAAGGTGTCAGGGTCGGTGCCTGGGAACTCAGCTGTGGACACCTGAGCCAGGAGCTTCCCTTCGAAGTCAGTGGCCACAGGGCCTGGCTCCACCAGGGAGATGCTGCGGACAGAGCCAGGGCAGTACTGCCTCAGTTTATCCCATCATTGTCTTTCTATCCACTGCTGCCCCACTAGTTTTTAAGACAGGGTCTTCCTGTGTATTCTAGGCTGGTCTTGAACTCCCCATGCAGCCCAGACTGACCCTGATTTCACAGGACAATCCTCTTGCCTCACCTTCCTCCAAAATGTGGGGATGATCAGTGTGCACCCCCCCAGCTCCCTTCCTACTTCAGCTGCCTTGTCACTGTCCCTGTCCCCTTCCTACTCAGGCGTCCAACTCACAAGATGTTGAACTGAACCAACTGGATGGCCAGGCTCTCGAAGAACCCCTCCAGGGCAAACTTGGAGGCTGCATAGACATCGTTGAACATGACGCCTGCATGGACAGTGGGGAAGAGGGTATTTTTTGGAGAGGGGAGGGAGCCAAGGAGGAAAGACCCAGGAGTATGGATGGCAAATAGTGGCCCCAGAGTAGCTTGCTATCAGACATCATTAATCAATCATTGCTCTGTTTCCTGCTGAGCTTCATGGTCCTAGATTCAAGTATCTCAGGAGAGGCCTGTGTCTAAGGGGTGCTTCGCAAGGAGGAGCTTCAGGAGAAGTTCTGATGGTTCTTTGGGGTTTGGTGGGGAGGGTATTTTGGGGATGTCAAGAAGTGAGGTTGAATCTGGCTTGTGGCTGTTGGTTGGTACCACACAGACCACCACCACCTACTCTTATATCATAGCAGGCATAGTTAATCTATCCCAGATCTTTCGAACTTCAGAGTCCTTCTCAGTGGAGCTCTCCCGGTTCACTTGGCAAAGGACTCTGGATCTATTTGACATCCTGGCAGCCTGGGGAGGGTCAGACACAAGGAGAGTCCCTGGCGGCATGTCCCCGGGCCTCACCTTGCAGTCCCATGACACTGCTGACCACCACGATGTGGCCCTGTCTCCTCCTCTTCATGCCTGGAAGCACAGCTTTGACAAGACGCACAGCCCCGAAGAAGTTGGTGTCAAAGACGCTCTGCATGGTGGCGATGCTGAGTCCCTCCAGAGGCCCCACCAGGCCCATGCCGGCATTATTCACTAACAGGGGTGGTGCATGTTACCACAGAGGCCCTGGGCCTTCAGCTGTCATTTCTCAGATCATCCCACCTGAGGCCTGGCTGTCTTGGAAACACAGGTGGAGTTTTTGTTTTTGTTCTTTTGAGACAGGGTCTCCCTCACTTTATAGTTAGCTTTGAACTCACTACCCTAGCCAAGGCTGACTTTAAACTCCTGGGGAAGCTCCTGCCTCAGCCTCCTGAGTGCTGGGGTTACAGGTGTGGGCCACCACACTTGGCTACATGTGGAGCCTGGACAATGCTTTAGCAGGGTTTAGCACTTGTTAGAGGGGCGCCTGAGCCCCAGAGGGAATCTAGGTTGTTAAGAGAAGCATCTTCCATAACGTGTGAGCAATTCAGCTCTGACTCCAAGTTGCATCAACCCGGTGACACCCACCCTCCTCAAATACCACTTAGGGAGTCTCATTCCCTGCTTCATCCTGCTCTCCCCCAAGTGAGTCAACAAGGCAATTTCCCGACCACATATGGTGTTCAGCATATAAGAGAAGTTTCTTTATTAATTCCACCACCCCCACTGAGCTGGCTGTAGTTCCTGGCTCTAGCCAACTGGGCTACCCTGTGCTCTGACCAACTGGTCTACCCTGTGCTCTGGCCAACTGGTCTACCTGTCAGCCAATGGCAGAGGTGGCTAGAGGCTGCTGCTCAAGCCTCACCACCTTGGGGTTCTAGATGTGGACTGACTGGAGGGTGGGGAATCCCAGGGCTTCAGTCTCACCCAGCACATCCACGTCCCCGCCCTTGATGTGGCCCAGGCACTGAGCCACAGATGTATCGTCGCACACGTCCAGCTGGGCCACCGTGAGGGTCTTCCCCAGGGTCGCCCCTGCAGCTGTCTCCAGTGCCTCCTTTTTTCCCAGGTCCCTCATAGTGGCCACCACTGAGGAAAGAAGCAGAACTGGGGTAGCGAGACTCCTTTCCTCTGCATGTTTTTTTTTAATTAATTAATTAATTAAAATTTTATGCATGTGGTACGGGGTCTTACTACGTAGCTGGGACTCATAGTGATCCTCTTTGTTTGCATCCTCCCCAGTGCTGGGATTATAGGTGTGTGCCACCATACTGGGTGTTGGTGGCCAGGTCAGTGTGCTTGAGGCAGAGCCAGTGTGGCATGTGGTGTCAGGGATCAAACCCCACTTCCTGCACTTGCCTTAGTCCACTGAGCTATCTCTGCAGCCCTCCCTTGCATGATTTTTAAATTAAGAAAAAAAAATTGTTTTGAGACATCGTCTCCCACGTAGTGCAAACTAGTTTTAAACTCACGATGTAGCCCAGGCTGGTTTTGAACCGTGGCGATGCTCCTGCCTCAGCCTCCTCAGTGCTGGGGTGGCAGGCATGTCTCATCACACCTGGCCTATATTTACTTCTGTGCGAAGCCTCACTGTGTACGCTGCCTACACATGTGCGTACCTCTATGAGCCCTACAATCGCTCATATGCACTGGGGGGTTATGGTGACAATACAGTACAAAGAGTAGGCCCAGTTTCTCAGCTTCTCAGGTTCAAATCCCAGCTCTGCCATTTTCTAGCTGTGACCCTGTGTGAAGATTTCGGTACCTCAGGTTCCACATTTCTAAAATGAGGAAAGCCTGGCAGAGTGGTGCACACCTCTAATCCTAGCCACTCTGGGAGGCTGAGGCAGAAAGATCTCAAGTTCCAGCCCTACCTGTGTGACTTAGCAATATACTGTCACAAAATTAAGGGTTAAAAAAAAAAAAAAAAAAGCCCGAGGATGTAGCTCCATGAGAAGGCTCTGGGTTCAACATCCAGTACTGCAAAGAATAAAAATCATCCAAATTACTGTTTAGCAGTGTTTTTTGTTTTTCTGGTTTTTTGTGGGGTTTTTTGAGATGTGGTTTCGCTATATAGTCCAGGCTGGCTCCCAACATGCAGCAATCCTCCTGCCTCAGCCTACTTCAGCAGTTTTATGCAACCAATCTGCCCAGAGATAGGGACATGACTCTGCTTGCTGGTGTCCAGATTTTCATGCTCAGCAGTGGACACCTCTGAAACAGGGCAGAGTCTTGGAGAAGGGAGCTTGCCAACTAGGGCGATGCCCTTAGCCCAGCAGCCTCCTGTTGAGTAACAGCCCTTTGCCCATCTCCACTGAGCCTGCTCTGGGTCAGAGGTTCCCACATGGGGCCCAGTTCAATAAGATTTACTCCAGGGCCTGAGGATGTGTCTGGAGGTCCCTTAAACCCCAAGGTCAGAGAGAAGTAAGAGGCTTATCAGGAGCAATAATCTCGGGCCAAAGGCGGGCATGAGCATCAGCAGGCGATTGCTCCACCCCCAGGAAGCCCACATCAAACCTCAGAGAAATCTTCCCAGCGCACCACTTCTAAAAATCCCACCCTCCCCCAAGGTCGGCCTCAAACTCGCTGTGATCCTCCTGCCTCAGCCTTCCCAGGCCTGGGAGCTTAAGGCCGACTCCTGGAGTTTGTTTGCCTCAGAACCTCACCCATTCCAGGCGAGGAACATACAGCCGAGCTGCGCTCCAACCCTGAGCCTTTTCTTCCTTTTCTGCACAGCTGTGTTTCCGGCACCCAGAGCAGAGCCTGCACCCCACCCCCATGTTTGCTGAAGAAATATTTGTGGGGGGAAGGGGGCGACTCACAGAGGAGAGGAGGAAAGCGGGCTTCTGCAGGGGGTCCTGGTCCTCCCCAGCCCACAAGGACAGCTGGCAGGGGAGGAACAGTAGGGGCGGCTGGGCCGAGGGTCTCAGAGGCTCCACCCTCCCTCCAGCTCCGGTGCCCTACCCTGGTAGCGCTGCCTTGGGTCCCGAGCCAGCTGCACGGCGAGCTCCAGGCCGAGGCCGGAGGAACAGCCCGAGATCAGCACCGTCCGCGGTGAGGAGGCCATGTTGATCCTGTCCCTGGCCACATGACCTGGGCCAGAGGGAAGGCGTCTGTCCTCCCCTCCCACGCCATCCCTCCTGGGCTCCTCTGTGCCCTCCTGAGTCCCTCCTCATAACCTTCTTGGGACCGAGGGACCCTCAGTCTGACCGGAACAGGTGACTGAGAGAACCCCTGAAGCCGTCTACACCCCCATCTCATTCAGCTGTCACACATTCCTGCCTGGGGGCTGGCGGGTAGCTTACTGGGTTGCTCAGGTGGCATGAGGCCCTGGGTTGCATCCCAGTGCTGCAAAACATGAACAGAAGAATAAAACTCACACTCTCAGCCTGGCGTGGTGGCATGCACCTGTTAGCCGAGCCTGTGGGAGGCTGAGGCAGGAGGATTGCTGTGAGACAGTGAGACCTGGTGGAGAACTTCCCTCAGGCAGGCAGGAAAGAACTCCCAGAGCCTTGGTTGGAGAAGCCTGGGCTCCGTGTCTTTGGAAAGGAGGTCAGGCCACTCTCCCCACCACTCCAGGAGCCCCTCTGTCTTCCTCAGGCCAGATGGGCCCCACCCCGCCTCTGCAGGGACACAGGGACCCTTTGTCTGGCGTGGAGCTGGGAGGAAGGCGTGGCCTGGGCTCCGGGAGGCCCTGACACGCCCGCGTTTCTGCACTGGCTGCCTGTCTGCACTTGTCCAGCGGCACAGGAGCCGTTCCTGACCCCCTGGGACCTTCTCATGCAGGGGTTCCTTGGCATCACCCCAGGGGTAGTAGGAAGCCACCTCTCCCTTATTTGATGGGGAGGGGTGAAAATTTGGGGTTGGGCTAGTGAGGGAGATGAGGGCTAGCCGTGCAGGTGGGACCCTTTATTTATTTGAGGATTAGAAATGTGGGGGAAGAGCCTGGAAGCGGTGGTGTGAATCTGTAATTCCTGTGCTTGGGAGGCTGAGGCAGGAGGGGGCAAAGCAGGTGGCTGCCAGGTAGGGCTGGAGACCTCCCTCTTGGGAACCAGGAAGAATGTCCCTATCAAGCTATGTCTCCCCTAGTACCAGCCTGTGGAGGTAGGCTGAAAGTATTTATTTATTTATTATGTTTTAGACTTTTTTTTTTTTTTTTAAATTTTAAGCCAGAGTCTCACTATGTAGTAGTCCAGGCTGGCTTTGAACTCACTATGTAGCTCAGGATGGCCTCAAACTTGTAGTGATCCTCTGGCCTCAGCCTGCCAAGAGCTGGGATTACAGGCGTGCGCCACCAAGCACAGAGGAGGCCAAAGGTTTAAAGGAAGCTGAGCGCTCCTCCCAAGGGGCCTGCTCGTAGGACAGGGCCTGGGGTAAGGCTGGGACCCCCGATCCTCGGGCCGGATGGGGGTACCTTTCTCTTGCCAAGGGGTAGAGTGAGAACTGCTCGGCTCCTGGCCGGCCCCGCCCCCGCCGGCCAATCAGCGAGCGGCGCAAGTTTCCCAACTTCTCGCTCCAGCTGTCAGCGGCCCCCCCTTCCCGCCCCTCCTGGCCAGGGCTGCTGCGCAGGGCGCGGCCGGGCGCGGGCTCGGCCAGTCTCTTCTGATCCCCACTGCAGGCGGCTGCCGCCAGCGACTGCGCCGAGCCTGGGAGTCGCCGCGCTCCGCAACAGCCCTGTGCGGTCGCCCGTGTTGCAGACCGGCCCCTCCGAGATGGGGAGCCGCCGGGGCCTGCGCCAGTCGCGGGCCGGCCTCTCCCTGCTTCTGGCCGCCCTGCAGCTTCTGCCCGCGACGCAGGCCGGTGAGCCCGGAGGGAGGGCATAGGTTTTGGGGTATAGGACCCTGCTAGACCCCAAAGATGGGTAGTGGAGTGGGATGTGTGCAGGGGGGACACGCATGCGGTGGGGGGACTCACTGTCCAACTTTGGCCAGTTTGTGAATGTGACAGCTGGGGGGGCATCCTGGGAAACCTGGTTCTTTCCCGGGTGGTGCATGAAGGGGAGCGCAGTTGGTGGGGTGTGTGCAGCTGAGCCTGAGTCAGTGTGTGCTGGGGGGGGACAGGAGGGGGCGGAAGGTGTGCTGTGTAGATGTGTGCACCTGAGTCTGGGGTTGAACTTTTTTACCAAAATGAACGTCCAAGCCCAGCGTGGTGGTGCACACCTGCCATTCCAGCGCTCAGGAGGCTGAGGCAGGAGGATCTATGTGAGCTCCAGGCCAGTGTGGGCTACACAAGAACCTGTCTCAAAAAACCAAAACCAAACAAAAAGAATGAACTTCTAGCTGGACTTCTTAGGCCTCACAAGCCTCGCTGAAATCATATGTAGCTTTATTTTTTCAGTATTGAGATTTGAATCCAGAACCTTACTATGCTAAGCGAGCTGCTCTATCACTGAGCTACACTCCTAGCTGCAGGGGTAATTTTGAGACTGACCTCAGGTGTGTATTCTTTCTCTCTCGCTCGCACATGCATGTGTGCATGTTTTGCACATGCTAGTCACAGATGTGATTGTAGGTAGGTGTCAGGGCCCACGCCTGTTATCCAAGCACTCAGGAGGCTGAGGCAGGAGGATCACCACGAGGTTCAGACCAACCAGGGCTGCGTAGTAAGTTCAAAGTCAGCTTGAATGATGTAGCGAGGCACTGTCTCAACCAATGAAAAAAGATGCATTGTGTGTATTTCTGGGTGACCCTGTGAGAATTGTGGTTGTGATTTTGGGGTATAATTCGCCCAGGAAAATGAGTGACTGACTCTAAGGTTTCTGTTGAACAGAGACGAATATGGGAGGTAGTAGGGAGCCCAAAGCTTCCTTTGGCCCCAATCGCATCACCCCCTCTCCCCCACCCCTCCCCCACCAGGCTCCCCAGAGCCGATCAGCACCACGGACAGCGCCTCGGGAGGGCCCTGTGGGGCGGAGCGGGGCGGGGGCGGCGGCGTACGTGGAAGCTGCTCCCCCCCCAGCTGCGCGAGCCCCGGGTGTTTTTCCCGAGGAATTTCTCAGGGGCCCCCCAGGGGTCCCGGGGGCAGCGGGAGGGGTGACTCAGCGCTGACGCATGCCCAGCTGCGCGCATCTGGCCCGGCGCCTGGCCGCACCCCGAAGGATTCGGGGTGGGGGGCGCCCCAGAGGTTGTGGGGAGGCTGTGAATCCTGCAGTGGGGAGCGATCAGGGCGTCTCTGACCTTGGGAACCCCAGGCTGGGCCGCATGGGTCATCCCGGATTGGCCCGTGCCCCGTTCCCACACTCAGGATCCTGCACTCTCAGAATAGCAGCCCCTGGGGACGCCAGGAATGCGAAACACCGGGCCGCGCCCAGCAACCTCAGCAGCCACCGCGGCGGCAACGGCCATCGGTCATCGCTGCTGTCACCCTCCCACGCGTTCAGGGTCTCACACACGCTTCCCCTGGCGTCGTGCCTGTATGGTCAGCGTGGCCCATCGCCCACTGGCCGTCTTGGTCACACTGCCCCGGCAGCTGTGTGGTAGAAGTTTCCGTGTGGAGAGCCACACAGCTGGTCACATGTCTGAGCCTCAGAGGAACTCATATGGCCTGCAGGATGATCAGCTCCAGGTTGGACACGCAGGAAGTGGCACACGATGGCGCCTAGTCCTGCCACCACAGGCAGATAGCTGCACATATTTCCATCTTAAGAAATGATATGCCTGTCTAGAGGCTGAGGCAGGAGGGTTGCTGTGAATTTGAGGTCAGCCTGGGCTACTTAGCAAGTTCAAATGCAGACCGAACTACATTGCACGACCCTGTCTCAAAAATAACAATAAACAACTCCACAAACCTCCCTTCCTCCTCTGCAAAAAGCAGCCAGCCACAGTGGCGCATGCCTGTAATCCCAGTACTCAGGAGGCTGAGGCAGGAAGATCATGAATTAGAGGCCAGCTTGGGCTACATAGTGAGTTCAAGGCCAGTTTGGGCTACATAGCAAGACCCTGCATCAAAAAAAACCAACCCACCCCAAAAAACAAAAACAAAAACAGAAAAGCAAACACAGAAATCATAACCAAAAATGACTTGCCCAGCCATTCTCTGGCCCACTCTGTTCCCCACGCTCACACAATCTCTCTTTCTCTCTCTCTCTCTCTCTCTCTCTCTCTCTCTCTCTCTCTCTCTCTCCCACACACACACACACACACATGTACATGCACACCTCTCACCTGTGCCCTTCTGGACTCCTGAGGGGTCTCACCAGGTCTCTGCCCATCTCCCTGCCCATCTCGTGCTGTCCCTGGGACTCTGAAAAGCATAGGGCAGAGCTTGTGTGCAGGGGGCACGTGGGCTTGGTTCCCAGCAGACCCCCCAGCGCCCATGCTGCGGTTGGGGCTCAATGCTTCTTGTGTGTGTCCTGGGCACAAGGCCAGCCACGGAAAGAAAGGGCAGTCAGTTCCCGAAAGGTCACTGAAGCAGGGATGAACACTGAAGCTGGAGTCCTCTGGGGTAGATTCCAGCAAGGACTTTGGGGACATGAAGGCACATTGGCCAGGGTAGACCCCTTCTCACTGCGTGGTGGCTGGGGTCTGGGGTGGGGAGGGAGATCTCAGTGCCAGACGCACTGTGGATATCAGTCATCCCCTGGGACCTTGCCTGGAGAGGGGACAACTGGGACACGTGTTCCACAGGGAGTGGCTTGTGGTCAGCAGAGCCTGGGAGCCGGATCTTGGCCCCAGGGGGTTGTAACCCAAATGCTCTTAATGACTACAGAGACAGACCCAGAACAGGCAATTAGAGATGGGCCTGGGAGAGGGACAGGGAGAGAGAGAGGGAGAAGGAGGAGGAGGGGGAGGGGGAGGGGTGGAGAGAGAGAGAGAGAGAGAGAGAGAGAGAGAGAGAGAGAGAGAGAGAGAGAGAGAGAGAGAGAGAGAGAGAGAGAGAGAGAGATCTACATACAGAAGACAGGGATGGAGGAAACAACCAAATACCAGGTGACAGGCAGCTGATGAGATCAATTGATTGATTGATTAATTAAGAGTTGGATCAAGATGTCAGATGATGAAGGAGAAAGAGAAAGCCAGCCTTTGGAGTTTGGAGGAGCTTCCTCCCCAAGGAGAGGGGCTTCATCCAAGCTGCCACCCCCTGAGTCCAGCCCCCTCTGGGTTCCCAAGGATGAGGTCAGCAGGGCCACTCCAGGGGTGAGGTCACGCCGAATCCAGAGGAGGCTGGCTCTTGCCAAGGGGCTGGTCAGGGGGTCAGTGGGGTGGTTGGGAGCTGGGAGAGGGGAGCCGGACCAGGGCATGTGGTTCCATTTAGCCCTGACTGGGCTGCCTCGTCCCGGGTGGGGCAGGACGAGGGCCTGCCTCAGGCCTGGGTTGGGCCAGGCTGGGTCCTCATTTCATTCAGTGAGACAGGAGAGAGGTGGAGAGTCAGAAGGGGCAACTTCTCAGAAAGGAGTGATCCAAAGCAAGAGGCCAGGGAGAGAACACATGCGGAACTCACAGGTCAGATCGGGGAGCCTGGGAAAGCCAGGACGGTGGGGGCCACAAGGAGAAAAGAGTAGTCGGAGGGAGGAGACCTGAGGTGTCAACAGTTGAAAGGAAGAGGTTGTTTATGGTCAAGGGACCCCATGCATCAGCAGGTGTATGGACAAACAGCGTGGTATTTGTGCACAGGCGAGTACTACTCTGCCATAAAGAAGGACAGGCTTGAGTTTGTAGGAGAATGGATACACTTTGAGTTCCCAGTGTCAAATGAAAAAATCAGACCCCTGAGCCTAAATTTCACATGGATTCTCTTAGTAAGAAACCCAAGTGATAAAGAAAGAGAGAGAAAAAAAAAGAGAGAGATACGAGGGCTGCAGTGATAGCTCAGCAGACTAAGTGCCTGCTTTGGCAAGCACTGGGACCAGAGTGCAATCTCTGGTCCCACATGCCGTGCTGGCCCTGCCCCTGGGGCATGCTGAGCCAGCCACTGAGTCTGGGCGAGGTGGCGCAAGCCTGTAATCCCAGCGCTGGGGAGACTGAAAACTGGAGGATCACCATGAGGCCAAGCTGCGTACTGAGACCTTGTACCAAATACATAAAATGAAAGAAGAAAAAGAAGAAGAGGAAGAGGAAGAGGAAGAGGAGAAGGAGGAGGAGGAGGAGGAGGAGTA